AACCTCCTTTCTTTCTCTCCCACCCATTGCCTCCTGAAGGTTATTCTCTCCATGTTGGGCTCTCTCCTCACTCACGTGGTCGTGGTGGTTGGTGGTGGCATTGGAGTAGTGTTGGTGGGTCCGAAATTTACGATACCGGTAAATAACAATAATAATCCCCATCAGACACCCCAACTCAACTCGTCTCTCTCTCTCTCTCTCTCTCTCTCTCTCTCTCTCTCTCTCTCTCTCGCGTGCCTGATAACGGCTCTAGAATCACCCCTCACTCCCCCTCCCCCTCCTCCCTCTCGCCCGCTCGCACCGTTTCGGTGGGACTTCAAAGGCGATGCGTATTCAATTACTGTACCGTGCGGGGGGAAGGCCGGCCGAGGGCCGAGGAGGCCGGCAGTGCGGGGCCCAAACCCAAACCAAGCGCACCGGCGGCCTCGGCCAAGCTCGGCCCTCTTGAACGGGGCGGCGCAGGCGGGGCGGGAGGAGCGGCTGGGGAGGCCGTGCGAGGGGCCGGGGTGCTGCAGATCACTATGGTCGTGTCGGAGTGAGCGACACCAAAGGCTGCTGACGCGATAACGTGGTGACGTCTGCAAAGTGACACACAGCTCTGCTCTGTAATCTCCTTTAGTACGGCAAAAGCATTTGGAGTGTGTCGTACTATATATATATTTTACTTTCACGACGCGTGTGAGTATCTTGTATTTTTTTGCTTCAGGATGTCATGATGGGATTAAACCTCACCAGAAGTAATGTTTCCTATTACCGGCATTCCTTTAATTAATGAGAATGGCCCTCAAACGCGCCCTATATACTCTCTCCATAACTCTATACGGCTCTGCAACAAAAACGACGGTGAATAAAATAATAAAATAAATAGGTACTCCGCTTTTTAAAACTTGGGGTAATTTGTGCGCGATCCCTCCGGGCACGCTGCTGCGCGTCGCTATCTGATCGCCATACCGGTGGTCCTAACCCGGAACAGAATAAGGCCACAGTCGTTTCCCTGATTCGGCTGGGCGCCGGCGAGCCGCCCCAGCCCCGGACGGTCATATTTATGAAACGCCCCGAGTAGCAGTATCGTGTGGCCTGCAGTGGCTGGATTCAGATTCACATTACTTTTCCCGTCCCGGGCGACCACGCCATGCCAGAAGGGCTGCTTCTTATCGGTTTTATTCTAGCCCCCCTCCCCGCCCCCCGCCACACCTCCGCCACTCCTTTTCGGCGGGGCGAAAGTTTCCAAGATTATGTTAATAATTATTTCTCACCGCCCCAGCCCGGGTGGCCGTAGTGCGCGCTTGCACAGGCGTGGGGTGTGAATACCTACACTGCGGGTACCGCAAAGTACTCACGAATGTGATTGTGGAGGTTTATGGCTGTGACGGTGACGGGGTGGGTGAGGGCTGACTGGTCGTGGCGATAGCAATGTAGCTGACGGTTTGCTGGTTGGGTAGTGAAGTTTTGCACCCTAATAACAATGAATGATTTTTTGGTCGAAAAAGAGAAAACTTTGTGGAACTTGACCACTTTGAGGAAATCCTCGCAGATCCCCAGAATATTCAATCAACATTCAAATCAAATCTGAGGAGTGTCCCACTCACAGCTCTCCTCTTTTCCTCAAAAAATACGACACTGTTTTTACGGTGAGGTCGGTGACGGTGGTCGCCAGCTCTGCGATGCTAGTAGTGCTTGAAGTGCTGTTAGTGTCGCTGCAGTATTTGCACCGGTATCTCCCCCATTGCAGGGATCTCGTTGCTCTCCCTCCTCGTCCTCCTCCTCCTCGTCCTCTACCTCGTCGCCGTGATGTTGGCCGGTGCCGCCGCCGCCGCCACGCCAGTTAAACTAGCGGTGCAAATATTTGACGAAAGGAAGTGCGGGGAGGGCCAAAGACAAACAGGCGACGTGGACAAATTACGGAGAACAGCCCCTAACGAAGCACACGTAACATGGCGGCCGCACCACGCCCCGCCCCGCCACGCTACACTGCGCCACGCCACGCCACGCCGCGTCGCGACTCGCGATAATCACCCGCTGATCCTCCAAATCTTCTTTTATAGAAGAGCGCTCTGCCGTTACGGGCGTGGGGCGTTGTCGTCGGCCGTCACCTTCCCGCTTGCCTCTCTCTCTCTCTCTCTCCCTGTTTCTCTCTCTCTCTCCTCTTTTTACCGTCGTCTTTTTCTTCTCTTTTCCTTCCTCCTCTTTCCGGGTAACGGCCCATGCCGACATTACGCGCGTGCCTCGTACGATGGCGGTGCTTCCACGGGGCGTGGCGGGGCAGGGCTGGGCGCTGCTGTAAACACGGCACATTTCAGGATGAGAATTTGTACGGTCACGTACCGCACAGACTCGTTTCAAGACAGGGAGAGAGGAAGGGGGCGAGGACAGGCAGGAGGGCTGAGAGAGAGTGAGAGAGTTAGTACGGGCAGGAGGAGAGGAGGCGGTGAAGGTGAGCGCGCAAGGAGGAGCCCCGCGCGGAAGAAGTTGTGTAAGTCCAATGTCGTTAGGGAAGCCGCATTTCATTATGATCTCCCATTATGGAGCGGGAGAGGGACAGAGACGAGGAGAGAGGCGTGGAGAGGCGGTGCGGGAGAGCCGCTGCTGGAGAGGATAGCCCGGGCTGCTGAGAGCCGGGCTGGGAGAGCGAGAGAGAGAGAGAGGGGGGGGTGAGAGGGAGAAGGACGTCGGGAGATATATGGCGTCAAAAGTTAGAAGTGGTCCAGGGGTGGAGGCTGCTGGGCGTAACGCCTCACCTCCTCGGGGGCCGCAGAGCTTGTCAGAGAGAGAGAGAGCGGAGCAAGCGCGCAAGCAGACCTGGGGGATGATCGCTGCAAGTGTTTGCGAAAAAAATAAAAATATGAGCCATGCTAGCATCGGCCAACTTGTATGAATGCGATTCAAGCAACGTAGCCTTTTGATTTTTCTTTTTTTATTATTATTTGTGGGTCCAATTTTCTATCTCTCTTACCCGAGTTCTCAAAAAATAAAATCAACAAAGCCGTTTGCAGCATTTCAGGACTATTTG